CATTTAAGACGCTAGATAAGATCTATAAAGATCACGAGAAAGAAAAGAAAGATTTGTATGAAGAGAGAGTACTTCAGTCAGAGAAAGGATCCTTTTTGACAGTCGTTCCACATTTTTGTTGATTGATAAATGGAAGAGGAGGATGAGTTCGGAGTAATGAACTGGTCTGAACGTCTTTGTGATGGTGATCTGTGGATCAGTAAAGATAGGAGTGAGATTGGAGATTCTAATCTGACAATTTTGAACAGTTCTAATAGACATGTGTTCACCTAACCATGTGCTTTCGCGCCACTTGGGGCGCGCTTGTTTCACAAGTGAGGCGGGCGCGCGCTACTGCAAGCGCAAGGGCTCTGGATAGAGCAAGACATGTGTATTTGTACAGGTTGTGGACGGTAATAGAAGCATGAATAAAGTTATTTTGGTGGTGCCAGCGTTCGCGTTTTCTTTCCTCATTTTTGCCATCAATACACTAGACTTACCAAGGAGAAGAGGAGACCCCAAAGCAATCTAATCTCGCTGATTGTGCTTGCTGGGCCGCGCTCAGCCTGTCATTCCGCCGAATCTCTATCCGCCGAATCTCTATTCGGCGCTACTGCAAGTTATTGCGCAAGCTATATATTGCGCGCGACTGCAAGCGAGAGGGCTCTGGTTAGAGCAAGTGATTTGATACTTTGTAAACATGCGTGATGCGCTCCTACTAAATCACTCGCCCAAATTTTAAGAAAATTCTTGTGAAAAGGCCCTTTAGGCATGAAAGTGATCTAGATCGATGTATTTTTGGACGCTGATTCCGAATCACTCTACACTCAACTGTTACGTAACTTTTTCAACCCGTTCTCTAGTTGTATCATGTCGTGACCCCCACGGTCGTTTCCCCTGACGATACAGGTGGAGCCGCGCACTCGTGCGCGGCGGGTCATACAACCAACAACGTATAACAATTCTTTAGCTGGTCCTGAACGACTATTCGAAATTACCCTAACCCTTTAATTTGATCCCAACCCTAACCCTTACCCAATCTTTAACAAAAGCATATGCTGAAATTATTGTTTTCTTCATTTTTACCCTATGTCATGGGGGGTAATTCGGAATCAGCGTTCGAAAATACATCGATTGAAGTTGGTTTCAACTGTATAGTAGAGGCTCTTACGGGCAAAAAGACGTGTTTTCTGCTACGATTTTAGAGACCTAACCGCTAATTGGACACAATAGTATGATGTCTAAGGATCAATAATATGTTAAGAAGTATAAATTTGGCCTTATTAGTCACGTGCTATACCAATGCGCGTTTTAAACTTTGACAGTATATTACTCTAAGGCAAATAGACTAATTATATTCATATTTTGTCAGCAATAAGATCATATTATTTTCTATTTAGTGTGAAAATATGAGCTAGAACGGACATAATCTCGCTGAGTTATAGCTGTTTGAAATTTATGATGAACGCGCGGGTGCCAATTGATAACAACTAAATGCTTTTGCGCGTAGTGCGCGTCGAAAATTTGGCAAAAACGCTTGCGGAGTGACAATATTCAAACTTCGATAAAGTATATGAAGTGGGTACTTCTCGGAAAGGAAAAATTTAGGCAAACACGATGTGACTATTTTTGGGTTGATTTAATACAACTGCAAAAAATTATTCAAACTTCAAGCAAAAAAAGTCAAATTTTTACCACATTTTTGGATTTTTACCCCCAAAAAAATAGAGGGATTTTTCAAATTTTTATATCATCTTGTGCGGCTGTGTTTTAGCTATCTCCATGCAAGTTTTGCCGACATGCCAACAAAATTAACTTGTTCAAAATATCAAAAAACGTGGTTTTTTGGCCTATTTTTTGCCCAAAAATCGGTTTTTTGCAATTTTACCCCCAAAAAGTCAGTCCAATCATCTTAAAACCACTTTTAATCGATTCTACGGTCAAAAATAGGTCTAGTAAGGTGTATCTGGGGTCCCTAGCGTATCGAGCAGACAATGCCCGTAAGAGCCTCTACTAGTAGATAAGGGGGCCCTTTTAGAATAATCTCATCAACTGTAAAGTGATTTAGAATGCTCGTTAGAAATCACATTTATCTTAAACCCTTCTAATTTAATTTTAAATCGATTAAAACAGCTCACCGAGTTCTTAACATTTGGAAGGAGTTTGTTCTGCAGTAAGTAATAACTCGCTCTCATGGAAGAAATGAACTTTGGAGATTCCTAATCTTTGCCATACTCTTGTAAGTTTATAATCTACCAGGACACGCGCTGAGTTGGACTCGTCGACGGTCCTGTTTGAAACAAATATTTTACGAATATAACCATAGAGAAACAAATTTTTTTTAGAGAAACAAATTTGAATTTTGATCTTTATTACAGATTCCCTGCGGTTTCTTCGCGTTCGCGACTATACCCGTTTGCGATGCCACTGTGTGGACGTAGCTGTGATAAATCTTACATCCTCTTAATATAAAGTACATGCTCTAACTCGGACATCGCAAGCTTAATCAGTTCTGGGGACTGTTCCTGGGTAGAGTTATGAAGGTTTAAAGCTTTCGTGCCGCGCAATCGCCCCAAAATGGCTAAAAATTTGCACCGTCGAAGAATAACTTTGCGCAGGGAATGCGCAAGGTCTACAATATGGTAGTTAATATTGATTTTCGACCTCCAGCAGGATAGCCTAGTTCGCTAAGCAGGCGATTGGCTGTGGTAGCTGAGGGTTCAAATCCCTGTCTAGACTTTAATTTTGTTTTAACTGAAACAAGTTTTCAACAAAAACTTTCTAGTGTTTGGTTAATATTGATTAGTTAATTATATTAAAAGTTATACTCTAGGATGAAATTCATAATTAGAAATGGCAAAGCAGCTATAACTATAAGTATAATACGCAGAGCATCATTATACTAGAATTTTATAGAAATAACATTGTCTGTCTCTGATTATTTTTAAATACAAGTAACAGACGTGACCAGTATTGCATCTGCATCGATTAGTATTCAGTTCGGAGTCGTCGATATCAGCTATTACATAGATTTTAAATTGCTGCTATAGCTGCAGATATGATTATGAGCAGTTTTTATCAGTCTGATTTGGTCCGTTTTGGGCTGGGCCCAGTTTGCTAAGGATTCTGTTTCTATCTGGTGTAAAACTTGGTATGCTGCGAAAAGAACATTCTGAAGGCAGAAAGCTCTGGATTGGTCTTTAAGTGCCTCTCTCAACGACAATCCCTCTTTAGCAGTTACTAATACTTGATAGCTCTATTAATTCTGCCTGTCACGGTGGGAAAGGAAGGTCAAGACTGCTTGTTTTATAACTTTTTGTTGGGACTATTGACATGTAGTGTTTGGAGAAGGAGGGTAACGAAGGAGCACTTCTTAGTTGTCCAGTGGGCATTACTGTCCACATCTGAAACAGATTTTAATAAAAGGAACTAAATAATAATACGGTTGAGTAAAATCAAATCTGAGACTTGAGTGGCGAGTGCAGTAGGGAAAGAAAATCTATAAGTGCATCTCAAACTGCCAAACTTACTGTTGAAAAATACTGTTTGACTACACTTCAATCCACCAGCCTCTCATCATTTTCAATGTGTGAAGCAGCTGGCGTGAGTTTCGTGGAATTCGTGAAAATCTTCGATAATCCCAGCCTCCAGGAGTTGCTTTTATTTTAGGGTCCTCTCAGAGCTTTAGAGGTTATCGATATTCCAGATTATGTCTGCTTTGTTGTCTGTACTTCCGGGGGTTGTATAAACCTGAGAAATTGAACAGTTCAATACCAGAGAGAATGCTGAAGACTTTGAAAGTTCTGCCAAAATGTTTATTTTCTGTACACAAATCCGAATTTGTCTCTTTAGTGGCGATTTTAGACAAAATTGACCTTCTTTCGGACTAAACTTTGAAACTGAATTGAAGTTTAAACGATTACCTCTAGAATGGTATTAATGAATTAACAAATTTATCATCAGAAGTCAAGTTATGGTCGATTTTGGAAGCTTGGATATGCTAAAATTATTAATTACATATTATTATGCGCGGCTCGGTTATATTGCGCGCGCGTGGTCGCTAGGCGCTAGCGCAAAAATTGCTTACATTTTTTTTTCCGTTCGGCAGAAAGACAATCGTGACTGACAAACATGTAGAAAACTCACCCAGAACTTCTAGCATATTCTTTAGGGCGGGAAATACTTTGTATGCAGGGTCTGTGATTATCCCGCCAAATCCGAATTTCTTCCTAATAACACATCACAAAGGCGCGTTCACAATTTTTGCGCGTTATAAACAGCTAGATTCCTTTTAAGTCGTTCTATAGTTAATCTCACTAATTCAAAAGGGGGAGACTGATTGGAGAAGAATTGAACCTTTGGTTTCTTCACAAGTAGAAGCACTAAGAAAACACCCAAGTTGTCCATGATAGAGACAAGAAACAAACTTTGCAAAGCAAACTAAACATGCTGACAGCAAATATAACTGAGAAGGAACCACTGATCACCAAGAACAAACCCAGGGTAACATATTGGTAATGTCGAACTAGAAGGACCAGCTGTTTCACTACTATCTAAAGACCCTAAATTTGCGTTGCTAGACAACAGGGGGGGGGGGGGTTCAACTACATTTTTGTACATGTACATTTGGCAAAAATCTTATGGCCATGTACATAAATGTACAAAAAATCGGAAATCCCTGGAAACGGATTGAAAAATTTCCAAAACGTGTTTAAAATGCTAACAATGCTAGTACATTATGCAAAAACAAAGCTCGGGCTAGGGTATCAAGTGGCTAGGGTACTAAGTGGCTAGGGTACTAAGAGCTGCAACAACTAAGCAATTGTGGTCAGGATAAACTAAGGACTTCATCCCTCAATTATATATAAAGGCTGTAGTCATGTGCAGTTAATACTAACAAATAAGCAATAGGTGTGTGTGTGTGTACTTTATGTGTGGCATGTGTGTGAACCAAAACACAATAAATTCAGTCTAACACTGCACTGTACAAAATAATAGTTCATCTGAATACTGTATAACAAATAACAAATAATTTGAGGTGTACTATGGTAGTCCGATAGACGTACACCTGACATTAGGCTATCGGTGAACACAGGGACCACATCATACGTGTGCCCTGCTGAACACAAGCTTTAGGATCAAGTTAGTTTCCCGTTGAGAAGCTCCCTTTGTGCTTGATCCATCCAAGTGCCTAATATGGCAATACAGCTCTCTATTTTATAGTTCAAAGTCAAAAGTTGAACTATTTACTGCTGTACTCCTCATTTCAGACTTGTGGTAACAGTGGTAACAGCGGAACACTTGAAGAAACAATTTCAGCAGCCGGGTTGTCCAGGTGAAATCTTCTCCCAAGTCCAGGTAACCCGTGCTGTAACTGTTGTGTTGTGTGACGCTACTACTACTACTACTATTGCTTCTGATAACTTCTGATACCTCTTTCTACACTACAACCTCACATCACGATGTCAACCATCGAGAATCTGAGTGACAAGATAAAGAGTGTCATCGGGAGACTGCTGAAGGATGCCGACCCTATTTCGAAACGAGTACTCACTGTATTTGATCCTTCCCTGGATTCTTCTGTCAAAATCTCTAAACTGGCCAAGGTCAACAGAGGCGAGCTAGACGCTCTTGGAAATTACCTTAAGTTGCCTCTAGTTAGCAGAGGATTAAAGAAGAAACTTTTCAGCTCACGAGAGAAACTAGCTAAACGGATTGTGTCAGAGATCATTTCTCTGTACCCTGCTGTTTGTTCCGAGTGTTCAGAAGAGTACACAGTGATGCCGGGCTTCCAGCCCAAATACAGATGTTGGAGTTGTCTTCATGGAGCTCACGACTGTGAAAACTTCACAGCCCAAATGGAGCTTTACGAAAGTCTCCCAACCCAACTCAGTGGTTTGGTATGGTTATGCTCAGACTGCATAGCAGTCAACAAAAACAACAACATTGGGGAGTGTGATGAACCACCGTCTGGAATGGGAACGCCAGGTCACACTAAGGAAATCAACCAGGCTCGACCAGATACCAACACTTCGCTAGAAAACAGCACTAATCAGAACAACGGTGCTGCAAGTCTTGAAGTAGTGAAACTGGCTGAAGAGTTGGAGAAAATCAAGAAAGAACAGGAAAAGTCTGAGTCGCCAAAAATCCGATTTTACTATATACTAGCAGTCTCGAGAGTAACAATTATCACACTTATTTCAAGATATCTCCGCTTCTGATTGGAGCTAAGCGCTCATCTTGAGCATTATTATGGTCAGAATTATCACATTGAGTGGGGTAGAGCATGGTTTTAAAGTCTTCAGACTTCAGGTTGTTGAGTTATTTGGTCAGATCCCATTTTTACGCTCTCGCGAGTAGCAATTGATGTACTTATTTCAAGATATCTCAGCTTCTGATTGGAGTGTAACGCTCATCTTAGGCATTGAAATGGTCAGAATCATCATATTGAGTGGGGTGGAGCATGCCGCATGGTTTCAAAGTCTTCAGACTTCAGGTTGTTGAGTTATTAGTTCAGATCCCATTTTTACGCTCTCGCGAGTAGCGATTGATGCTACTGATATATCAGCTTCTGATTGGAGCTAAGCGTTCATCTTGGGCATTGAAATGGTCAGAATTATCACATTGAGTGGGGTAGGGCGTGGTTTCAAAGTCTTCAGACTTCAGGTTTTTGAATTATTAGGTTAAAACATATTTTTACACTCTTGCGAGTAGCGATTGACACACTTATTACAAGATATCGCAGCTTCTGATTGAAGCTAAGTGCTTATCATGGGCATTGAAATGGTCAGTATGGTCATATTAAGTGGGGTAAAGCATGTTCCTAGTGCTAGAGGTTTTAGTGAAATTTTACTGATATTTTACTGATATTTCTTGGCAAACAACTTTTTCCTGACGATTAATTACAGTTCATCCAATAAATATTTTCAACATTGCAGTAACCATTCTTGCGAGAGCATAAAAATAGGGTTTAACCTAATAATTTAATAACCTGAAGTCTAAAGATTTTAAAACCATGCTCGATTCTACTTAATTTGATATTTTAATGCCCATGATGAACGCTTATCTCCACAACTCCACTCAGAAGCTGAGATATCTTGAAATAAGTGCATCAATCGCTATTCGGGGGAGTGTAAAAAGGGATCTGACCTAATAACTCAACAACCTGAAGTTTGAAGACTTTGAAACCATGCTCTACCCAAATCAATATGATGATTCTGACCATTTTAATGCCCAAGATGAGCGCTTAGCTCCAATCAGAAGCGGAGATATCTTGAAATAAGTGCATCAATCGCTACTCGCGAGAGCGTAAAAATGGGATCTGACCAAATAACTCAACAACCTGAAGTCTGAAGACTTTGAAACCATGCTCTACCCAACTCAATATGATGATTCTGACCATTTCAATGCCCAAGATGAACGCTTAGCTCTAATCAGAAGCTGATAAATCTTGAAATAAATGCATCAATCGTACTCACGAGAGCGTAAAAATGGGATTTGACCTAATAACTCAACAAGTACAACCTATAGCTCCAATCAGAAGCGGAGATATCTTGTAATCTTGAAATAAGTGTGATAATTGTAATGATTCCTTTACAAAACTTAGCAAGTGCTATTAACAATATCCTAATGGATCATGGAAATTGAAATGTTCAATTTTCTTTTCATAAATAATAATTTTTCATCGAATAAAACTTTTTTGTCTCTAAAATAGGCTCAGAAAACTAGATTAATTTACATCATTTTACCTCATTTCACCTCATCCCAATTTTGTCTTTTTTGGCTGCCCGAATGAGGTAAAATGAGGTTGACCCCCCCCCCCATCATGCACCTGTACACCGTTGTAACATTCCATGCTTATGAATCATGTGTAGTATATTTACTATATAGTACATTTACTGTGTATATTTATGTTTAGTACTTGTAGTAGGTTTAGGATTGCACGGTATTTACTATAAAATAAAAGTTTGTCGTCATATGAACTAATTTGTTATGAATTTTTGTTATGACTTTTATATAAGGCCCACTGTCACTCAGGCGTGAGGTTCTGGGGCACATCACTTGAGCGACTAATGGATCAGAAGTTTTACTCCACGTTTTAGAGTCCGAGTAATTATCAAATATTTAGTCAGAACTTTCAATGAAAGGAAAAAATCATGAAACTAAATAATAATACACGATTAAACCAGATTGCTATTGTGTATTCAATACGGTTATTATCACCTTAGTATCCTTGTTTCCTACATGTGTAATAACTCACCCAAGAGGGATATAGCAATCAGAACTGTTGGAGTATTCCAATACCGCCAGAATGTGTCGCCATACACTTTACTACCATTTATAACCTAAGAAACATGTAATTTAGAAAGGACTAGGATTAATAACTCATTAGATTCGAAATAATGGCGCATAATAAAATCGAGTATCTTATTGGGTTATTAAAATAAGATATCTTTTGCTAGAATTTTAAAGTTTAAGCCATAGAGCAATCTTCTCAGTTTTAAAATTTAAAAATAACATTTTACCCTAACTATGATGTGGTGGCATTTCATACTTAACTAAAATTCAACTTTGAAAGTCAATAGATTATTAGTCACAACAAAATTATAGTTTAAGACATCCATTTTGCATTGTGTTTCCAATATTAGAATTTATGATATGTATTGATTGAATAATTGGTAATAAATTTAACTTTTGTTTTATTAACTTTTGTTTTATTAAACTAACTTGCGTTAAACTTCACTAAAATTTTATAATCCAAGGGTATTTAGGGTATCAACATGAATAATAACAGGATTACTGTTTCATCTGGTTTAAAATGTTAGATCAGCACAAATTTCTAATTAATTAACGTTTTTATATCTCTCAAGCTATATTTATCACAAACAGAAGTGAGTAACTGTTTTATGCTGTTAAATCTGATATAGACACTAGTACACTAAACTTCCTCTGAACTTCGATTTTTAAGGTGTGATAGACCTCATGATAAGGGAAGAGGGGGATGTGGTATATTGATTAACCAAAGTGTCAATTACAACTTACTCAACTTAGATATAACATACTCTGATGTATAGAATACTTTGTTAACCAAAAACTTACCCATTATGTTGAAACAAATAAACTACTAACCAACCATCAGTATGGATTTAGGAAAGACCATTCAACCACTTTCCTTATGCTTAATCTATTTGACAAAATATTTATGTCTAAGGAATCGTCGAAGAAACCTGCAATTGCATTCTTGGACATAAAAAGGCTTTTGACACACTAAGCCATAATATTCTATTGAGAAAAACTTAAGTATTATGGCGTGGATGGCTTTGTCATTAAGTGGTTTTAAAGCTACCTTGGAGGCAGAAAACAGTGCACCAAAATACGTGGTAATGTAAGTAAACTGCTTCCTGTAAACACAGGTGTGCCACAGGGCAGTATATTAAGTCTATTCATAAACGATCTAATTTATTACCTACTATATGTTTTGATTCTATGTCCTTAGAAGGGTATTCTTCTAACAGTTTTTGACTGACTTGAATGTACTGCACAGCATCTTGAAGCTTCTTTAAATTATTTTTATCCTTCTTGAATTTCTATGTAAATTTCCCAAATTTAATTCTAATTCTAATTCTAATTGTAAACAATTCTCAGAAGTTCATATTGTGGTTAATTTTTTCCCACTGTTTTCACTGCCTTGTTCAACAGCCTAGCAAGTCATATATCCCTTTTAACCAATTTTATGACAACATTTCTCGATAACTTTTATCAAAACCCTTGAAGTGTCCTTTTGTTGACAATAAAATGTTCAAGACTAAAACCATGGAAACATGTGCGAACTTTAAATAAGGTTTAAATGCAAATTTGTATGTAACTGTAAGTTGTAACAGAGCTTTTCATAGATCGAAGTAACGAAATATAATTATAAGTTATAACTGATTAGTAAATACCTCATATTTGTAAAATAATCTGAAGAGTAAGGGCTATCTGCTGATGTATGTTGAGGTTGCCTTTCACCGTGTTGAGTGCCGATCTTTTTTTCATTCT